TGGTACAAATGACTTCTCCGTTAGGATATCCTGACATTTCAACGTTATCCTCAGTGTCCAGAGGACCCGTTCCTACACACCAGGTCAGTTCCTTTTGTCTGCCAATCTAACCAGTTAACTAAGCAACTAAATGATTGCATAACTTCATGGGTAACTATATAACTAGCTGGCGAACTAATTACCTAAACAGCTGATTATCTATCTATCTATTTATCTAGCTAAATAATGTAATAAAGTTCTCACCTTCGCTTGCCACTAGTTGATCCACGTGCGCATATTTCCGTTTCGGTGGTGTGATCTACTTCAGCAAACACAGAACTAAACCTTTTATGATTCGCATGTAACCTTGCTTATCAGTCTTGTTTAACAAGGTATCACGTAAAGTGGTAAGATGACCTCTGAACTAGTGTAGGACGTTGTTGCAGTTATCGATTTACACGGCAACCGAAGTAGTGCGAAGGTGGATAGTGCTCGACAGATCCGTGATGCAGATCTGTGGATGTTTAGAACAAGATATCGAATTTCTGAGTAAAGAAAAGACGCCGTCATTCGGGGGATTTGATCGAACTGCGCAGTGATATCTCGCCAGCTGTTCACGTCCAATCGGCTTCAGAGCTCACACAAATTTACTGAAAGGCTGCCTTTTCATTCAGTGGCAAATAACAGCATTAAGGTTGGATTATTTGGCGGTAGGTGGTTAAAGACAGAATTCGTAGCACGAAAAAAGCCACTCACAAGAGTGCTGGAAACCCTTCGACAGCCCAAGACTTGGAGCCAGTCAGCTAGGTACTGTGTCCCCGAGTCTCCCTTCAATCGAATTTGTGTTCTACGTGAACCCAAATTGCAAGAAATTCGGCAAATATATTCATTCGCATTCCAATCTGGTTTTCACTCGAGACTCAGCTGAATCTCTCGCTCGCACTGACCGCACCTACCTGAAAGGTGAAACCGATCGTGGGCTGTCAAAGAGTTATCAGTAACCTTGTGAGTAGTTTCGTTTAGGAAAACGCCCTACAGTATCTCGAATATCGTACCGACTGAAACATGAGGCGGCCTTTGTGCGGCGCATTCAGTTAAAGAATATCTCAAACGATCGATTCAGTGGAGGTTGCCGTGAATACCAAATTGAAATGCAAATGAGTGTATCTGTAGAAATATTGGGAGCGCTTTAAGCTTTAAATTAAAGAAGTAAGACTCGCAATAAGTTCCACTTATTTACGCGGATATTGCTTGTAACGCCAAAGTACTGCTGCCCCCGCTAAGCGACTAAAAGTTCTGGCAGCGTCTGGAGATTCAGGAATTTCGACTGTCGTTTTACCGAGAAACTGACCACAGAGAAAGAAAGGCTACCAAAACCCTGAATCCTGAGCGGATCCGTGTTTTAATAGTGGCTTGGAGTCTAATGAATGTTTTTGGCGAGTCCATTCGGACATCTCGTCTCTCAGTGCCAGGAATCCTAAGCTAAACGTTCGACTGCCCTGACTTTCTAATAGTTAAACGGAAACTGATTACCAAGCCAAGTAGTTTACGCATTCCCCGATCGGTGATAAAGGGATTTTCCCCGTTCGAGGACACATCGATGGCGCCTTAGTTCGACATGATGCTCAAATGTTTCTAATTTATTGCTATCCAAAGTGGTAGAAACCTTATCCTTGTTCGTCTTTCCTGAGCGCGTAGGATTTCTCTGCACTATGCGCCCACACATCCCGTTTGGTCCCCATCTTCACCAACATTTTTCTGCCTCACTATTGTTTGGCGACTAGGCAACAGTATGTGTCTCTGATTAATGCCGTCAGCGGTGATGATGATGATGATGATGATGATGATGATGATGATGATGATGATGATGGGATCTAGACTACTTTGCTGACGACCATTTCGAGCACGACGAAATCCACCGGTGGTGACCGAAACTCTGCTCTTAACGTCATACTTTCCACCAACACTCAGCCTCAGTAAATGTAACACACTACGCTCAAACTATCCGACCTCATTCACACTGAATGCTATGCGTCTATTCTGAAACACTCTGGAATTTTTAATTAATTATTTACGTATGAGTAGATTTTCGAGCGCTGAGATCGTCCTAGTAAAGTCGAACTGTTTATCAGAATGACGCTCATTCCAGCCCGGCTGCCGCAGTAGTGGTGAAACTTGGATGGTGGTCAGTTTTTGACAAGCAAATAGCAAATAACTATTTTGAATTCCGTTTTTTTCTTGCCGGCCCAATAATCCTTCAATTGTTACCAAAGAAGACCAAAATGGAAGCTCCCGGTTGACTTCTCGTACTAGAGGAGGTCGCAAGGTCACAACCATGGACGGTAGACTGACTATAGCTGTGAAAAGTCAGATATATCAACGCGTTGTTTTTTTAATCAAGATGGATGGATATACCGTGGTACACGGCTTATTGGTAAAGTAACCAGCTGGTCGTTGGAAATAGGTGGCCATTAGGGGCAATTGTCCCTGTGGTTTCAACTGATGAAGAAATTGAAGGGTGATTAAAGAAAAAGGGCTTGAAACATCTCTGTGTTTTAGGCACCAGCTTGGGGACCGGAAGGTCTGCGGTCCGAACCCGACCTGTGCATCTCGACCGTTTCTGTCTAGGCTTGGGCAACCAGTACCCAAAATGGCGCTACAGCTGGACGATCTCTAATTTTTATTCTCTGTGCACTGGACTGAAACGCTGTAGAAGCAAGTTCTTGATTTTCACAAAGCTCACACTTAACCCAGCAGCCAATGACAGCAATATCGGCAAATAAATCAGGCTGGTGGCATCACAGATCGTTGCTTTAGAAGGCCTTGAAATGACCTTTTTGTCTGTCACTTTGGTACTATTCACCTCATCTGCCATCAGCTTACTGAGGAAACGGCAATCAAATAACCTCAACACAACAGGAATCATAAAGCTGGAAAGTCTTTGCAGATTCATTGCAGAATGCGCACAAGTAGTCCAAGACTGCCTTGGGAAAAATCGAATTTACAATTGACAGTCGACTACCATTCCTGACAATTCTGCTGAGCGGGAATGCCCTCAAAACTTCTGCATACCGAATGAACAGGCACACGGCCAAGTTAGTGAAATACGAGTGTTCACCGATTGAACCGCGGGAAGAGCCGCATCAAAACTTAATTCAGCAGAAAGAAAGAAAGGCCTTGGTACTATTCACCTCATCCGCCATCAGCTTACGAAGGAAACGATAACCAGATAACCTCAACACAATAGGAATCATAAAGCTGGAAGGTCTTCGCAAGTTTTGCTTCTATGCTAGTGGTTTCTGCAAACGTTGCAACATCCCTCGATTAATGCCCCGATCACCATGGAATTAGTCTCACATCCTGTCTGAAGGCCATTGCAGGTGTATTTTCTCACGCTACTTATGAATTTAATCAGTAACTAGTTTAAAATGGGAAAATCGAAAACAGTTGGCGCACGCATCGTAGATCCAGAACTCGCATAGACAGGAAACTTCCGAATTGTCTGACACAGCTGCCACGTTTAGGAGTATCAACTT